TCTTTATGGCCTTAAGTGAGCACCTTGTGAATATCAGAATCTGTGAATAGAGACAAATGTTACTGTCAAAATTCCGGCTATGCAAATGAATTAATTTACTATTTGAATCAGTTGCAATTCATAACTTTTTTTTGAAGAGCATACTTCATTTTTAATATGGCCATCTGTCAATTTTCAATTTTTGTAGGTATTTCCATCAATCCAAATTCAAAAGCTCTATTCAGTGCTTTAGGTAATGCCATTGTTGGACTTAGAAGTGATAGTCTTCACTATTTCCTGCTAATTCAGCAGAAGAAAAGTTTATGTTACTGCTTTTTAGTCTCTCCAAAAGAGCTCCCTGAGATTGGTAGTCTTCACATGGTGGGCTAGAAATTCCTAACCCCTGATCTTTGACAACTCTAGGAGCAAAGCTTTTGATAAAGTATCTTATGATATTTTTAGGAGAAGATGGAGAGGTAATGGATTAGATGATAATGTAATCAGTCGGATTCGGAACTGGCTGTCTGGACTTCAAGAGTGGTTTTTAATGACTCAAGGGTCAACATGGCAGGAGGCCTACATTAGAATAACCCAGGAATCTGTAGGTGGCCCTTTGTTACTTCACAGTTTTGTCAATGACTTGGATAAAGGCATAGATGGTATGCTCATCAGATCTGAAGGTGACACAAAGCTGTGAGGGATAGTTAAATACTGGATGACAGAATTATGATACAAAAGAATCTTGACAGTCTAGAGAAATGAGATAAATACACAATGAAATTTGTTAGGAATGTGTGTGTGTATATATATATATACATATATATATATATATATACATATATACATATATAGTGTGTATATATACACATAGTCTTGCACTTGAGTAGAAAAGAGTAATTTCATAAATATAAGATGAGTAGTCATGATTAGACAGCAGTTGTTCTGAAAAAAAAGATGTAGGAATTTTAGTGGACTGAAAGTTCAACATAGCTGGCAGTGTGAGGTTATAGAGAAAGAAGCTAATGTTGTCTTGAGCTTCAGTAAGTGGGGGAAGCTTGCAGGAATAGGGAAGTGATAGTCCCATTGTACTCTGCTTTCATCAGATCGCTTCTGGAATATTGTGTTTATTACTTGGTGCCATTGTTCAAGAAGGACGTTACAAAATTGGGGAGTGTCCAGAAGAGAATAACAAAGAATGATGAAGGGCCTCAAGTTCATGTTTATATGGGGGATCAGTTGAAGAAACTTAAAATATTTAGCCTGGAGAAGAGAAGATAACTCAGGGGGATATGATAAATTAACTATCATCAATTATTTAAAGGCTATCATGTAGAAAAAGAATTAGATTCATTCTTTTTAGCCCTAGAGGGCAGAACCTGGAGAAGTAGTTGGAAGTTGCACAGAGTGCTAATTTAGGCTTGATGAAAAGCAAAAACTTCCTGTCCAAAAGTGGAAAGGACTGGTGTGTGCCTCTGATCTGGAGGTCTTTAAGAAGTGGTTGCATGACCAGTTGTCAGATGTGTTATGGTGGAGATTCCTTTCATGTATAGGTGAATGTGATGGCTCCTGAAATTCCTTCCAACTCTCAAATTGTATGCTTCTGTGATCTGTCCCACGAATTCTGGTAGATTCAAGAAATTTCCCTTGCTATTGGTATTCCTGTATCCCTCTTTGTGTGCAGATGTAGGTGATTATGGAAAGCCAAGTGTTGCTTACTCTTATAAAGAGGAGAACAAGAGCTAGGTAGGATCCTAGCTCTTGGGACCTTGGTCTTGGGCAAGATTCTTGCCTTGGTATATAGTCAGTGATGTTGAGTGAGGGAACAGTAACAGGGACAAGTGTGGCAGAGACTGAGTGAGAATAGACAATAAGATGCCACCCCCCCCCAACCCAGATTCCAAACTGAATTTCCAGATGCTCTCATTTTGAGCTCAAAATTTGCTCTTGGCTATTTGCTACTGTCACCATTTTGGGTAGAGGAAAAATTCAATATGTTGACTGTGAAGTAAGAGCAAAAGTAAAACAAGGTATCTTCTTTGGAAACATCAGTTCATAAAGTATTACACCGCATTGTGGATGGAGAATTTTAAAAATTCTGCTATATTGTTCAGCTTAGAATGTCTTTCTGGGGTCCTTAACCTTGTGTGGTCAATAGAGACTATTAAATATCTTAAGAATAAAGTTAGTTGTCTGACCCACTGATAAATTAGGGGGATTTTATCAATAAAGATGAACAGGAACAATTCATTGGCAACTAGTAAGGATGGTCAGGAACTTCCTGTAAGGAGTTAGAGACCAATTGAAATCCTTTTTTAAAGAAGTAGAATCATGTGTCTTATTTATTACCATATAAAATGTTTGGTGGCTATAGCAAAAATAGCATGACTATCTATTATGTCTCCAGATATGGCCTAATTAAGTGACAACCTCCCAAATCCCCCTACCTTCTACCCTGGTACCTGATGACATCATTATCCATTGACAAAATGCTTTTTCTTTTTAACAACATTTATGAATATTCTATTCTATTTTAATAGCAACGTCTACTCCTGGAGAGCAGAGATTGTTTCCCACTTTTAGCAAATGCTTAGTAATTTCTTGTTGGTTACTTGCTTGACTCTATGCCTCATTATGGGATGTAGATAGCCCTTGGGTCTGGAAAGCTCTGACAACAAGCTTCACTTTGGCAGATCCTACCAAGCTGGAAAAAGCTTCAAATATTCGGCTCACTTGTCTACTGGATGCTTTTAGGCTAAGGAGCAGCTTGGCTAAGTACTGAGAGGTTCATCACTGTAACATCAGATAACTTATCAGGGGATGAATATTTCAGAGGACTACCTAATAAAGCATAGAGGGATTGCAATCTATATCAGTGGAGGGAGTGCCTACATCAATGAAATTCTAGTTCCTTGAAGTATTGATGTCAGTACAGTTGAGGAAAATTTGTCACTTTCTTCAGTGAAACTATTGGACGCTATGAAATATAGGAATATAGCTGCTTACTTTCTATATATATGTATGTATGTATGCATGCATACATATATGTATATATAATTTTTCTCATTCTTTTAAAAAACAGGCTTTGAATTATTGTAGTATTCAAAATAAAAACCCTAGAGAGAATGCACATTTATTCCAGGATAGACAGGTTAAGAGATCCTAGGCCATTGATCTTGCTCCATGTAAGTTATGAAGCAAAGGTGGCAACAGGAGAATTCTTGTCAGAAGGAATCATTAAGGCACACATCTGGACTTGATTTTCCTTACCTAGCATACACTTTCATAGTCTGTGACCTTGAATGTACACAAGCGTCCAATCAGATCTGAGACCCTCAAATTCACCACCATTGTCTTCATGAAACCAATGGTCTCGATTCAAACCCTGTGGCCAAACCTTGTTAGATTAGTCACATTCAACAAAGGAGTCTACCTTTGACAGTCTTGGGCAAGCTTTGGTCCAGGTTGTTGACAAGTGTTCAGTCAGGAGCAATGACTTAACCTGGACTTCCACTTCTGAGCATTTTCTGTAGTGAAGCCAGCCAGCATTGTTCCCTCAGGCTCTGATAGCTAGGAGTTTTCTGGTCCATTGATCAATTTCGACAAAGGCTCCAAAGTGGATTATCTTTTGGCAGGAATGATCTGATTTGGAATCTACAGAGATTAAATGAAATGGGCAATTTCCAAAGCTCCACTTGGCCTTGTGCTATATAGGAGTCCAAGAAAGCAACATTTTAGGAGGTTTCTACATACATAATGATTTTTTTTTTTGCTAACAGGAGACATGAAACACACTAAAGTTCAAGGAAACAAAAACATTCCATTATTTTACAGGGCATGGCTTTCATGGCAATGTCTCTGGTTACCAGATATTGCATTTAGCCCCACTGCAATCATCATTGCACATTTGGTAACTACACAGATGTGACCAGGTGATCACTGATTGTCTTTCTCTGGAATTAGCAGAATTTTGCACATTGGATCCTACCCTACCTGATCAGTACTCACTTTGAAAAATGTAAAAGGCTCTGGCAGCCAATGCACAGTTAAAAGAGACACTGTCATTTCATAACACTGACTGAAAAAAGGCATAAATATTCTGAGCTGGGTAAAAAAGAAAAGGAGATAATAACGTATGAAGGAAACGGTTTGGAAAACAATGCTGAGATGAAGAAAGCACTGTAATGGTTGGCTGCATTCACAGATGAAGTGATAAGTTTGATGACAGGCCTTTTGAGTATACTTCCATGGGAGAGAGATGCTTGAACATTTGGGACTGGGAAGCAAAAATGCCATAAGGGTAAGAGTGGAAAAATACCCGTTACGGCTCTTATGAAAAAGATTAATGCTTTGAATGCACCCAGGAATTTCCCTTTCTGTTACTGACACATTGTCCTTTTCCAGATCGCCACTCATGAGCTCCTCTCCCTTTTGTGCAATCATGGAGCTATGCTGTGGGGGTTTTTGAGTGGGGGGAAGCAACAATAAAGTAATAGAGAGAAAAGAATCCCAAACAAACAAAAATCTTGACACTAGCCAAAAGCCCATTCTCAGTCAGTATTAAAGACTCCAATATATATATATATATATTTGTTTGTCAAACACAAATAAGATTTGGCCTTTCTACAAAAAGGTAATTTGATGCTCAGAGGTAGCTTTTACCTTACACATTACTGTGGTAGATACACTAATGAATGGTATTTTCAGTGATGTGGTCATACATATTTATATGAAAACTAAGGACTACATACAGGCATTAGAATCATTTACTGAGATGACCATAATTCACATACCACAGCATGGTTTGGCCCTGGTGGGTCTATTCTTCATGACTATGTATACTTTCCTACAAGGCTGAATATCCTGTCCCCTTCCTTCTAATTGCTTGTCGTAGGTTGAACACCCCTCAGATGTATAAAGAAGAGTCGTCAGAGAGGAACAGAAGCCTGATGCCTTGGGAAGCAGGCATTTCCCTTCCAGACAACAGTCCCCTCTACACGTTCTCATAGCAACCTGCTCAGACAGTGGTGTTGGTGTCCAACTTCTTTGAGCTCTAGCAGGAGACCTTCTCACGGCAGTGGGGCAGTTTCAGCTTCCAAGTTTTCTAGCTGAAAAGAAAGAAATTGCAGATACAGTGAGCAATGCAATATTAGCAGATGAAATGTGAACCCTTGTTATTGATATCATCATGGGAACCATCCAAAAAAGATGTATGAAAAGCCTCCTCCAGAGGTGGTGGCATGGGAGTGTGGTACACTAAATATAATGTCAGACTTTTGTCATAAGTTAGTTTTGTTGAACTATCTCCTCTCTCTATTCTATTCTTTGTCATATGGAATTGGTACATAGAGTGATGAACTTGAGTCAGGAACACCTGAATTCAATCCTTCCTCAGACACTTACTAACTTGTGTGTCCTTGGGCAAGTCATTTAATCTGTCTTAGCCTCAGTTTCTCTCATTTGTAAAATAAGGATAATAATAACACCTACTTGCAGGTATGTTGTATCAAATTAAATGAGAAAAAAAACACACAAAGTTCCTTTCAAAACTTAAAGTGTTACATAAATTTTAACTATTATTATTAGTATTATCATTACTTTCATTGAGAAGGATGACATTGGGAAATATAGGTTACATAAAAATAAAAGACCTCAATGCAATTTATTTTAATAAATATATAAGGCCATGGTGATGCACATGTGTAATCCCTGTTACTGAGGAGGTTGAGACTGGCAGATCCCTCGAATTCCAGAATTTTTAGCAGCAAGAGGGCTAAAATTGATTGGGTATCTGTACTAAGTTTACCATTAATATGAGGTCAAGGAGCTGCCTAGGCTCGGGTGAACCAACCAAGGTCAGAAAAGTAGCAGGTCAGAGCTTCTATATTGATCAATGGTAGGATTGCACCTATGAGTAGCCACAGACCCAAAATCCAAAAAGAAAAGTGTAGGCCTTTAGGGCCATTAGCATATATTGGCTTCTGAGTACTCCATAAAATGGCAATTGTTGATCAATCATCCCAAAGCAGCCATAGCTCTTTTTCTTACCCTGGAAACCAAAAAGTGATTAACTTTAAAGCCTAAAAGTTATCCTGTTACCATGTTTGCTCTTGAGCATTTGTATCAACTTTATTAGGAGAGACAGAGCTTAAACACATTTATGTTTTAAGATATTGGCTCACAAATGGAAACTCTGAGTTTCTATTTGACACAGACCATCTAAATTTAGGAATAAATAGGCACAGAAGTTGTATTTCTGTTGGCAACTCATCTATAACTTATGGTCTACATAAATTGCCTGGAGGCACCAAGAGGATAATTAACTTGGCCATGGTAACCCAGCTAGTATGTCTTCCTCATCTGCTATCCACATGTTGCCTTTCACATTTGTCTTCCAGTGAGAAATAATTATGGCATAAAGAGGGAGCTTTATTGCTAAGAAGATAATGATTGTCTGTGAGAGTAGAGCTATAACTTTGAATGTATCTTTACCACTGTCACTGAAGTCTTATTTGGGCCAATAGAACACTGTATATATTAGATTTCTAATGATTATTAGATGAGTTTTGGGGACAAATTGTTTAGATGAAGAAAAAAATAAATGAACAGACAGCCCTGCCATTTGTGTTGTGTTATTAAGCCCTAGCTCAGTTCTAAATAATAATGATAATGACAATAACAATAATAATAATAAAATTCTCAGCCAGATGGGCCTGATAGCTTAGGGTATCAGGCAAATTCCAAATGTGAAGGAATATACCATATCTGTCTTTAGTCACTCCATGAGCTGAATGAAGGTCAATGATTTCTGGAATTTTCCACTTGAGATACAGGAGAAAAAGTACTATACAAGAGTCTGGAGTTCTTTTACACTTTTCACCATGCTTAATTGATCCTCTGTTTCCTTATCAATAATTTAATTACTCAGCAAACATTAATTAAGCACTTACTATATGTCAGGCATCGAACTAGATTTGTGATATAAAGACAAAAATGAAAGAGTCTGCTCTCAAGGAGTTTACAATCTGAAAAGACAATATGAATACACATAAGTACAAACAAAATAAATATAAAGTAGTTTTTTTGCAGGAAGGCACTAATCATATGGTGGGAATGGGGAGAAGAGATCAGGAAAGTCCTCATGTCAAAAGTATGTTTGAGTTCAGTGCTGAAGAAGGGCCAAGGTGAAGATGGAGTGTATTCCAACCATAGGTGACAGCTGGTATAAAGGCACAAAGATGGGAGATGGTATGTTGTATGTGAGTAGCATTAGGAAAGGAAAGGAAGAGAACTGATATATACAGGATGGAACTAAGAAAGCTCTTTTTTCCTTACTATTCTTTCTTTGCAAACCCTTGTAACCTTCTTAATCTCAGGAAGAGCTACATTAAGTGGATTTGTGGGATTCAATTAATCAGGAGTCCCCTGATCAACCCCCTGATACAAATATTAAACAAGTTCCCCAGCGCTAGGTTCATATATAACAAATGAGTCATCTAACTTCTGAGGATGTAAAATTTTGTTTCTGTCTAAATTGAACGATTATACAGTTTTCACTTTGCAGGATTTTGTTTGTGGAAATAAATCAGCCTTTACACAGCACTGTTTTGTTTTTAATGTTATTGAACTAAAATCACATATTGTTTTTGCCTTGGCTACCAAACAACTTTTTAAAAGCCATTTGAGAAACAGATATTTGAAAAGTTTCCATCCTCCATCTGTCCCATCCATTACATCTTGAACAAACTCATAAAATATTTTTGAATAACCCTCTAGGCCTTATTTTCCTAATGTGTAAAATGAGGTAGTGGGACTGGATGATCTTCAAAGTCCTTTCCAGCTGCATCATCCCAGGACCATTCTGACTTGCTTAATGAAGCTAATCTGAGTAATTTGTTGCTGATGGTTTTTTAAAACTATGTTAGAACTATTTGAATGGTGATATTAGATAGAGTCTCTGATAATGGCTATAGCATTCTGAAGCCCCAAGGAGAGAGCTCAATGACTTGTTTTTTAATGGATTAAAGCACAAACTTCCAGCATTGCAAATTTCTATCTGTGGTACAGTAAATGCTTCATGCAGAAAGAATTAAATAGCTCTCTCTAGCAAAAAAATACGAAACAAAACAAAACAAAAAAACCAAACCATAGACCATTTTAAGAATCTTAGCCTTGTGTCTAGGTTAGCTCAAGTTAAATCATGCCAAGAGATTTCTGACAAAAAGAATAATTTAGGAAACATGACAGAGAATAAAGAAAAGGCAGAAGGAGGAAGAATAAGAGTAGCATAATCTGGTTAAGTAGATAGTATAGGATGTTAAATGCACATTATTTCAGTCAGGAGTGCAAAGCAATCACAGAACCTACTGAATTCACTGCATTTTCCTACAGACAAGAGGGTGTTTATGGTGAATTTTTTTTTTCAATATCCTGTCCTAGAGCTCGTAGAAGCTGTAAGCAGCTTTAAATTGTTTAAGAAAAAGTTGGTTACCCACATTTCTCTTTATAAATTTCTACTTTGGTCAGGCATTTCTGAGGCCCTTTGTGTAACTGAATCTAGCATTTGAGAACTTGGTTAATATTTGTATCAGGGGGTTGATCAGGGGACTCCTGATCAATTGAATCTTACAAATCCACTTAATGATATTATAAGGCAGCTGAGACCTAGATGTATAAGAACATGTCCATTTGAAATTTGTGGAGTGGAAAACTCAACTAATCAGAGATTCCCTGAAACTCTCTACTAGATGAATTACCAAAAGCAATGCTTTCCTAATGCTTGGAGTAGGAGAAAGAAATAAGATGATCATTGAATTGGAGTAGAAAAAAAGGGAAATTAACCTTCAAATCTCAGCCTGTTCTCAGAGCTGTTTCTAGTTTAATTGTCAACAATTTTATTGAATTAAGTTAGATCATCTATCTTAATTATAAATGCCAATTTATTTTACAAAACTTCCTAAAAAGTGTGAAATTTCCATTTGTGGAAATGAAAATATCATCCACCGATGAGCCCTATGAATGTATATATTAGCAGCAATTTTAACTCATTTATTTTTAGTTTTCAACGTTCACTTCTATAAGCTTTTGAGTTTTAAATTTTCTCCACCTTCCTCCCCTCTCCGCTCCCCAAGATGGAGTGTAATCTGATATAGACTTTACATATACATTCCTATTAAACATATTTTCATATTAGTCATGTTGTAAAGAAGAATTAGAATAGAAAGAAGAAAAAAAAAGGAAAGACAAGAGAAAGCAAATAGTATGCTTTGATCTACATTCAGACTCCATAGTTCTTTCTCTGGATGTGAATAGGATTTTTCATCATGAGACTTTTAGAGTTGTCTTAGAGAAATTTTTTTTTAACACAGGCCAATAATTGGAGTTGACAACAGTAACAGGATTCCCACTTTAATGAATCTTCACTGTGGCTGGGCTTTGGTCTCTGCTGGATCTTTAGTCATATCTCCATATTCTTTTTCTCTTCATTTTGTACCACTCTAACTGAACCAAAGCTTTTGAAAACTGGTCCTTGAATAAATAAACCTTAAACTGAAACTTTATTGGACTTAATGGGACTCTAAGGCCCCTAAATTTACTAAATCTAAACCAGACTAATCTTAAAGTTAATTACCACCTAAGACTCTAATTAAATAAATCTTGTAAATCTTGTCAGCTCTTTGAACCTGTTTTGTTTTAATCAGTAAAAGGTAGGGTTTGTAGTTAATGATCTCCAAAGTCCCATTTAGTTCTAAATCCTGTGACCCCATAAACAATTTTTTTTTCTTTTAGTGCTGTTTATATTTAACTCAGAACTTGGGATATACCTAATATAAATCAGTTCTTCATGGATGCATTATACATTTTAAAATGAAATTTGCTGTAATACTATTATACCAGGAAGAGAGAGAGTGAAAAGGGAAGAAGGAGGGAAGGGAGGAGAAGGGGAAGGGAAAGAGAAGAAGGATAGAAAGATAGGAGTTACAGAGAGAAATAGAGAAAGAGACAAAAAAAGACAAAAAATCAGAGAGAAAGAGAGAGAGAGAGAGACACACACACACAGAGAGAGAGAGAGAGCGAGAGAGAGAGAGCAGCTGTTACCATGGTTTTA